AGCAGAGCAACTGTTGCAGCCCTGGCGAACATTTGAGCAAGTCCCTTAGCCGAGGAGGGCGGCCTGCTGCATGTGCTGGCATGACAGCAGGCTTGTCTTGGGACCTGGCCTCGGGGTGTCATCTCAGCATCTGGGACCTCGGGCTACTGGAAACGGAGCTGCCTGCTCGGGCTTGAGAGCCTTGCATAGTAGGGGCAGGGCATCTGCCAGGAGAAGGGGGAAGAAAGGCTTCCTTCGCCTCCAGGTTCCCTGCCGAGAGTTTCAGACATGTTCCCTTTAATCGCTGCTGCATGGTAGGAGCTTTCCATCAGTATTCAGTAAATATGTACAGCCATGGAAAGATCTGTAAGCAACATCCAGAATTATCCTGGTTAGATAGGATGTAATGAAAGGGCCGGAGGAACACACCCTGCTCTGTTTCTGGACTGTGCGTAGAACTGATTTTCTGAAGTACGAGGCTAAAGAACCTAACTTTGCTTGTGTGTCTTTGCTGCTGTAATAACAGTACAGTGACTTTCAATGTTGGCAGTAAGAGATGCTGACATTTAAGTATGCCATAGGTTTTGGTGGAAAGCTTATATATTCTGTCCAGGCTGTTTCGTGGGTGAATTTAAGTGTCTGTCTTGAGGGACCAAATGGCCTTGACTAGTAGCAGGCATATGATGAAAGCAGGTTTCCTGCACAGTTCAATGGATTGTGTGCCTGACTAGCAAAAAAAAGTTGTCCTCTCAAGTGGAGGCTGTCAGTGAATAATGACATTTTCTTATTTCATGTAAAATGAACAAAATCTACCAGCCACTAGGGATAGAAACTTCAAACACATTTTTCCCCATGGCATAAATCACAACTGTAACCCAGTACTCCAAAGCTTTAAGAACCACAAACAAGTTGAGAAACTAACTGTATAGAAGCACAAATGCAGTATATTGGGAAATGCTATACTGTATGAATTATAGACTCCTTAAGGAAGACAAAAACCTGGCTCGTATTCTTTACTAAAGAGGTTACAGCGAAGGCTCGGGGCATACACTCTCAGCAGGGTATTTGACCAAGATTTTTAATCAGATGTCATAATATGTAAATTCCAAAAAAGTACTCTCTAAATCCACTAAATGTATGTCAAATTATTGCTTTGTCCTTGGACAGGACTAGTATGGCTCACTAATTAATCTCACCCTACATCTTCAGTCTTCTAGGACTTGATTCTGTAGGGTGTACACTAGGTACTCCCCTCTTTCCTCAGTCACTGGAACCAGAGGGGTTCAGTCAAAGATTTTGGCCCTTACAGCTGTCTGTATAGTTTTTAAATGCCTTTTGATTCTTTAAACTATAGAAATGACTTCTGAGACATCTTTTTGATGTTATTAGATATTGTAGTAAGGCCAATCCATTTGCATGACAACTGCCTTGCAAAGCATTTTTTCAAGACCAGATTTGAAACTAAAGGCAAGCCAATAGCAGTGTGTTGGGGATTTGGGGGGAGTAACACATCTTGTGACTTAGGTGGCTTGTGCAGAAACCATGCTGCTGTTTTACTACTAGAAGTTGCACTTGGATGCGTGGCACTCGTGCAGTGCTTGGATGCACAAAGATTGGGCTTATACTTTCAGAGACACGGCACAAACACTCTTGGCTATTAGTGGGTTGCCTATCAGTGGAAGTCCACAATCAGTTTTTGCTTCCCACCCTGTACAAATGTGCATGGCACAGGCGGAGTGTATGCTTACTGTAACAACCTTCCTTTTCTCTTCCAATTTTTTTTTCAGTATTCCAAGGAATGATGATATGTGTAGCTTGTCATGATAGGCTTTGTTGGTCTCTCTCTCTCCCTTCCCCCATACATCTCTATTTATGAGAAATCCCAACTGGGGAGCAAAGTCCATCCAAATAAGGCTACTTTCAGATTATTTTTCATAATCTTATATAGCCTTTTAAGATTTTGCATTCAGTCCTTTTTCTGGGGTGTTGTATTTGGTGCTCCTATTCTTCAGTTCTACATGTCCAGTCAAACTTTATAAACCTGTTTAGTTACTGCAAGAATTTTTTCTGGTTCTTTACCCTGAATGTCTTGCTTCTAAATAGTATTTCTGTTGTACAGTCATAGTTCATTGTATTACAGACTGATTGAAGTGTAGACAGACTCCTGTTTCTACTGACCCACACTTTTGAGAGAGAGGGGCAGGGTGAGAAAACATCTGATCTTACTCTTGCTGTTCAGAGTGGAGTTAGTCTAGTATACCTTTGTTGGGGTTGGGTATGATGCAGATAGGTGTGAAGGCTGGAAAGAATTAATCCTCCCTTCTTCCCCAATGCTGTTTGCTACTGATCTAAACTACGCCACTTATAGAAACCTATGTAACTTAGATTGATTCTGACTCAGGCTTTTTGAATGACTGTACATAACCTTGCTGTCTGAGGTCTCTGATCCCCTGGTAGAAGACAAGGGATAAGTAAAGCGTTCTGTGCTCCTCCACTCCACTAAACCTTGTACCTCTGAAGGATTCAGCCTTTGAGTTGGTGTGCAGGAACAGACAGTGTTCATTCTGTATCTCTTCTTCATTTTCCATGGGAAATTTAAAAGGCTGCTGGCATCTATCTAGATACATTCCATTCCCTCCCTCGCTCCATGCCACCTGATTGTAGAAGTATTTCTCTTCACATACCCCTTCCTTTTGCGGGGGATAGTTAAGGATCTCCATCCAGGTCTTTATTTCTCCATGTTGAAATGGGCAAGCAGGCATCTTCCCGATCTCCCTAGGTTCTTTAAGAGGATGAGGGAGCAGCAGAGCACAAGGGTGCCTTCTATTCCACACCTTCCAGTCTGCTTCCCTTTGATTATACAGAAAATGTGGTGTGGTGGGGAGGGGGTATGTTTTAAAGTCGAAATGCTACTGAAAAGAAAGAACTGCAGTTCAAATGATTTGTCCAAGGTCATACAGAAAGTATGTGGCAGAGCTGAACCCAAGCTTCCTGGAATTGAATCCAAGCTTCCTGAGTCTCAGACTAATACCACAAAGATGAGAATTTCCTTTGTTTTAATTAAAATTCAGATAACATATGACAGAACTAGATCTAAGTTGTTTACAAAAGTCAGACTGGACCATCAAGTATAATCATTCCAACTAGAATCTGAGGAGTGATCACAGACTATAGGATTATTCTGTCCCTTAAGAATTGACTAAATCAGATGGGAACAAGGTCATGTGTATTGTGTTTTTTCCATCTTGTCAGGTGAATGGGATTTTTAAATAAAATTTTCTCTTGTAAAGCTGGAAACTTGATCAGTCTCTGCATTCTTTTTGAATGTGAAAATCCCAAGGTGAAACTGGTTAGAAAAAGAGCGTTAAACAAACATGGAATTGATTAGTTTATTGGCAAAGCTGAGTGAAATTGTACCGGCTGTAGGTGTTATATGGCCTCAGACCCCTACCAAGAGACCGCTGATATACAGGTGGTGGCAGGGTGGACCCTAGGGTAAGATTGCCTGACCTGCCTAGAGGGTAATCTTTTTTTCTCTCGCCTGCCATGACATAATGTAATAACTTGTTAGGAGGCAGTTCCCCATGGGTGATCTTCCTGGTCCCAATCTCTGTCTTTGTGGGACTCCAAACTCCCCCTTTACCTCCCCTAACCACTCCAGTCTTTGATGGAGTTGAATTTGGCCAAGACCTGATGACAAGTGCCCCAGTGGCTCAAAATATAAAGCTGTCAGTGGCTAGCAGCCTGTAACCAGGCTGACCATAATTCTGGCTCTGATTGTGTCTACACTAAACTATACAGTCCAGGGTCCTTGGTCAGATTCCTAACAACATAAATGATAGAGTAATCCACAGTCCCTTAGTCCTTATCTTCAAGGCCTAGCTGATCAGCCAAACACCTCACAGTGCCCTGATCCTGTTAATCTATCTGCTCTGCTTCTCTCCCCTCTGGAACAGAGCATGACACTGTGAGGAGGAGCAGTCCCATCACCTGGGCCCCTTGCCCAATCGACCACCACCAAGGTTTCCCCTGACCTTATAGAAGAATCGCTGCCATCTGTTATGCCGCAGTCATCTGTGTCTTAGGGCAGGCACTCCTCCAAGCACCCCGTCTTCTAGGTCTTCTCAACAGCGCTACAGGCAACGTGCACTGCTTCTGCTCCAGGAACTGCTCTGCCACTTGTCTGTGCTGCTTGTCGTGAGGTGACCCCCTCTGCCCCTCTCCAGGGCCAGAAATACTTCCTGGCATCCACTCTCTGCCAATCCGGAGCGTCAGGCTGCTCTGGAAGTGCTGCAGTATCTGCCATGCACTGCCTCCGTGAGCTGCTTCCAGCCAGATCAGTCATGCATACTGCACGTTCCCTTCACTTTCTTCTCCCTCTTCACAGAAATGCAAAAGATAAAAGGAGAAATTAGATTTTAAAAGTTGCTTGGACAGTAGTAATTCAAAATGGTATTCATAATACTGGTGTGAGGGTTATGGTAGTAGTGAAATGCTAAATGAGAATATATATATGACCCTGGAAAAGCATAGGCTCAGGGGGGACCTGGTGGCAGCCTATAAGTACATCAGGGGTGTGCATCAGGATCTGGGGGAACACCTGTTCACCAGTGTCCCAAGGGATGACAAGGTTCAATGGCCACAGACTCCAAGACTGTTTCAGGCTGGACATAAGGAAAAACTTCTTTACTGTACGAGCCCCCAAGGCCTGGAATAAGCTCCCTCCAGAGGTGGTGCAAGCACCTACTCTGGACTCCTTTAAGAAGCGTTTGGACACTTACCTTGCTGGGATCCTTTTACCCTAGCTGATTTCCTGCCCTTGGGGCAGGGGGCTGGACTCAATGATCTCCCAAGGTCCTTTCCAGCCCTAATGTCTATGAAATCTATAAAAAGGTCAAGAATAGAACCTAAAAGAAATCTATATAGTAATGGAAGGAAAAAAGAGAGAGATTTTTCCCCTGCCCCTCAGTTTCACCCCACCCCAGAGTATGCTCCATTTACTGCTCGAGTCTGCTCTACTTACATCTTTTTGCTCACAGCTTTTCCATGTGACCCCATCAGATATTCGGCATGTGGATGAACAGGTAAATCACTGTGTCTCTCTCAGGAGGAAAGAAAAAATGTTTTCTTTGATAGATAGCCACAGTTTTAGAAATGCCATCAGTCTGAATTTACTAACTAAAATTACTGCTTTCTTTTACTCTACTTTTAAAATCAGCACCTGCCATGTCTATCAGAACTAAGAATATGACCAGCTTTGTGTAGAGATGAGGTCAAATGCTTGTGCTGTCCATGGGCTCTCCACAATTGTAAGAAAAGCTTGATTTCTCATTTTGAAACATCTGTAAGTGTTGGCTTGACTGTATTGTGAAGTGGCAAGTTGGGTGGGGGGGTTTCTTTTAAAGAATAATGGAACACCTTTAAAGGATAATAAACGTTCACCAAGAAATTTTAAATTCCTTTAAATACCAGGATGTCAGCCTGGCATGATATGCTAAATAATTTCAGCATCACTATCATTGCTTCTGGGCCTGGGAGGTTAATTCCCCTCAAGTTTTTGTAACATTTAGCTAGTTTGTGGATGTATGCAAAAGTGTTGACTTAACAAATTTTACACATTTATTTCTTTTTGGGGCAGCACTTCTAACTACAGCATTAATCACATATTGAAGAGAGACTTCCCATGTGCCTATACACCGGCTCTAACTTGCAGAGATCATGCTATGGTTTCTGCTGCTTTAAGACTCCTCTGCAGCTTCCTAAACCTTTAGCTGATGAAGAAGAAATTGCATCTTTTCAGAAGATACTTAATTCTCAGAATACTCCTTGAAAATACATCTGGGCTAATCTCATCACCCAGCTGCTGGAAGTTTGCTGCCAACATTTCTTCTTGTTCTCTGTTCAAGTCTTGAGACTTAGCTGTGTCAGAAGGAATAACAAATGTGTCATGGCATGATTTATGTACCAAGTATCTGTTGTAATACAGCCTTCTTTTGTGAATGGGAAGCAGTCCCTTACTATACACAGCTTCACTAACGGGTCTAACAAAATCAGCAATATGGACTTAATGCTGTTTTTTTCATTATGCCTCTGTGGATGATAATTAGTATCAATGGAGTATATTTTCTGATGTGTGCACATTGCATAGACCATAAAAACTTGAAAAATAGAAAGCTGGCATAGCTAGATGACTTCGACCTTGTAAAAAATACTTTGGTGCTTGTGATAGTTGGGAGAGTGATGGCACCACAACAGTAATAATTCTCTTGTCCTCAGGATCAGTTTAAAGTGGGCAGTGGTGATACTAGCTTATTCTTGGCAGCTCCTGGGATTCTTCCTCAACGCTGATCTAGAGCAGCCTTCTGTCAGGTTAAGAGGCTGGTGCAGTTCCTGTGTCCTTTTTCCCATTCCCAGCCTTCATTTTCATCTGCTTTACTGTCAAGAAGCACACTGCTTACAGCGTGGTGTACACATCTGCTGACTTCCTACGGACTTTTGAGTAGTCTTCACACACGCACAGTTCTTAGTTACTACTCAATTTATCAGGCTTTATACAGTAAGAGGACAAATCTTGTGTATCCCATGATCTGCCTCCTAAATCAGTCAGGTCTTACAGTCATCTTTGATTTGCATAAACTGGTAGAGTTTCTTTCTTCTGGAGGCTGCAGGGTCCCCTTCAGAAGGGAAAACATAACCTGTGGGAGAGAGAGAAGCATGTCTGTGACAGTAGAACCAAGTGCTTCCTTTATGTTGGGGTTGTACATGCACATCTTGCTAATTTTTACTCTAGTTACTGAGACTTTTAGGAGAGACTGCAGTGTAGCGTTATAATCTGACATAGTTTATTGGCTTTGGGTTCAAGGTGAGGAGTGGGTTTTAAGGAGGAGCCGATTTCTTCAACCCTCCTTTTAAAGCTATAGGGGACTGCCTGGAAGAACACCCACATGCAGGTTAAGATTGGCAGGAGCAATTAAGGGAGCCATTAAGCCTCTGTCTTGAAACACGTGAAAAGGTAAAGCAAGGGTTCCTGTATACTTTGCAGGCAAGCTGTTCTAGAGCCCTTCCTTGGTCAGAGTGGGATAGGAAGTAGTGAGAACTGGAATTTTATTAATATAGTTGGTTTAGCTTAGTTTTGGCCTAACACAATATTATTGCTGTGTGAATGAAGTTTTCATCTCATTTGGTATGTTATCTGTGTTACATAGGCAGCAAAAGTTCACTTCTGCATGAGCTCATTGGCAGATCTTTGAATCTTAATAAGAATATTAGTACAATTCTGCCTCTCTGGAGTGCTGAGTTCCTTTGTTCTTTTGAGAGATATTTGTGCTTTGATAGAAGATCACGGAGCAGTTATAGGAGTAACAGGCAAGAATTTGTAATGCTTCTGTAGCATACGGTTGTCAGCTTTGGTCTCCGAGAAGTCAGTATTTGATGTTCATTTTGAAAATGAGCATCTGCCTTAAAATACTAAGCTTAGAATGACTTTGTATGTTTGTTGTCCCTACAGTTTACAAGTAAGAAAGGATGAATATTGAATGATCTTTCATCTGATCATTTTTGTGATCAGAGCTTTATCATTTGATTAAATTAGTTCATTTGAATCATTTTAACTCTTTACAAGATTATTTAGCAAGCTGTTTTGAATGGTAAAAATGATTTGTTTTGGCAAGAGAGCTTTACAAGGCATAGTCAATATCTGATTTACATTCTGGATGACAGCAAAAATGAATATTTTTCCTTAACCATAGAAAATATTATGACTTCAACTTAAAAATGAATTCGCTTGCTTTGCATGTGTATTTTTCCTACGAAATTGGCTGTAATAGTTTAGGTGAGGTAATGTAATGGTTGATGCATCATTGATTCATTCACAGACTAATGTGGCAAAGTGGCAGTGTACTTTGGCCACTTTCCACCCAGATCAAAGGTTAGATGAGGCTGGCAATATATTAATGACTTTACCAAAGTGTGCAGTGTCATTTATTGAGAAAACATTCTTATGCACACTTTGGAGTGTGTGTGCTTATTGAAGACCATTTAGATTTACAAAGACTGGAATGATCCTTTTCCCCCTGAAACCACTCTTGGCAAAACCACTCTAGTTATTACATTTGCCTTAGTTTACTTTCTGTTTCTGCAACAAAGCCTTTCATTAAAGAAAGTGCTAACCACATGGAAAGCTAAAAGTTTTGATAAATGACTGTTGTACATATGTATTCATGTTACGTTAAGCGTTCTGTATTATGGATAAGTTGGCAACTCTTCATAATCGTTGGGTAAGTAAACATTTCATGTACTTCATAGAGGTAGCTAAAATGAATTGAGACAGTTGGATTGTGCAAAGTCTTTGAGTTGCTTCTAGCAAAAAGTGTCTTTTTAATATGTTTGCTTGTAGTTTGGAAACTGCTGTTTTTTACTGAAATTACTGAAAGCTAAGTAACCCAGTACTACTTAAAAATAGAGTACTTTACATTCAGTGTAGAAAATAGAATACACGATTTTAATATGTTGCTGAAATGACTAACAGTTTTTCTAAATCAGGCTCTCTTGGTTCATTTTGTTAGGGTAAAGCCTACTTTAAAACTTAATTTTGGCACCAAGATATTTTGCAGTCTAGTGTCTTAAAAATAAAACACTAATGTTTCCTTCAGACTTCCACTTAAAGAGAAGCAAACAGCAGCAGAAATACACACTTGAAATCAGAGTAATTTATTGATATTTATTTATGCATCTTGTACTTGAGCACTGGGTGCAATAAATGAAAGGGTTACAGTTTTTAATGCTCATAACTGCCACTTGCTATGTAAAACAGTTATTTTAAAATTTGAAATGAAGCAGTAACTTTTTGCCTTTCAACAAAATTGGATGTTACGTATAACATCCAGCATTACAGAAAATTATAGTATCTTTTAAAAAATGTTTTGTAAGCAGAAGCTAGTATTTTGAAAAGTATAAGAGAAATGTGTTCATGCAAGAGGTCTCAAAATGTCTTTTGCATCTAGGAAAAAATATTAGGTGTGCACCACTAAAGATTTTCTTGGCCAATACCAATAACCAAATATTAACCAGCCATATCAGCTGATACCAATCTGATGCCTGGCTGCAGTCCTGTAAATTGGTTAGCAGGGAGAGCAGCTCCCTGTAGGTAAGTCTGTGGAAGGGAAGGGATGTGGGGAGAGGGAAGGGGTGTGAGAGAAGGGCAGATTGAGGTCCCCATGGTGAGAGGGAGGGAGTGGGGCAGGGGTAGGAGCTGGTGCTGGGGGTGCTACCCAGCCAGGGCAGTGAATGGGGGCCAGGGAGGAGAACTGGACAAAGCTGCAGGCAGCTCCTTCAAGGACTCAGCATCCAGGTGTTTAAAAATGGTGGTGAGGACACTTGAACTAAAGCTTGCCAAATGAGCTTTAGTTCAAGCACCACTGCCACCATTTTTAAGCATGGGGATGCTTTTAACTGGGGTAAGGGTAGATGCGGGCTGCTTGCTGTGGGCTCAGGGCTTTCCACCCTGCTGCCTTTGCCCCCGAGGCCCTGCACCAGCTGTGCGCCCCTTGCCCACTTGGCAGTGGGGGGCACAGCTCGATGTCCCCACTGTTGCCAGGCAGGCAGGGGATGCGTGGCTGGTGTGGGGTTCCTGAGAGAAAGGCAGGAGAGCGGAGAGCCCCAAGCCCATAGCTAGCAGCCCACGACTGCCCCATGCACAAATCTGGAGGGCACGTTTCCACAGCCCCCATGCTTCCCCCAGGGGGTGCATGAAGCAGGGAGGAGCTGCTCCTCCCCCCCCCCCCGGCGCTCCCTCGACAAGCTGCCCATGGCTCCATCCTGGTTCCCACCCCGCCCCTGGGTCCCATTCACCACCCTGGCTGTGGAGTACCCCCAGCCCCTGTCCCTGCCCCACTCTCTCACCATAGGGCCCTTGATCTGCACACACCCTTGATCTCCCCCACACCCTTTCCCCTCCACAGACTTACCTGCAGGGTGCTGCTCTCCCCGCTGCCCAGCTGCATTCCTGACTATGTGCATGCATGCACATGGTATCTGGTAGCCCTGGCCAGAAGGCATATTATAGATCAGTGAACATTATCAGCTGCATCGGCCAAAAAAAGCCAATAGCCAGTAATGTTAATTTTCTTTTTATTGCTGCTGATTTCATATGCAACTGATATATCCGTGCACTTCCAATAAACATTCAAAATTACAGGCTAGGTCTGTAATGGGAATAATGATATGCTCACAGCAAATGGTTTAACTACTGCTGACAAAACTTTTCAGTAATAAAAAGTAAGACTTCCCATGTCCAAACTCTTTGGGTACGCAACAGAATATAATAAAATAAATATCGCAGACAAAAAGGAATATGACCCACAGGTATCTAGAGAAAGATACTAAAAAGAATCAAAACATAAATTCACAATCTTATTTCACTTACGTTAAATGAAATATAACAATCTCCCATCAAAAACTGCTATTTAGCCTCAGTTAGAAGGATTGTACAGATTTACTATGGAGTATAGCCAGAAGGAAAGCAAGCATTCAAGAGTTATGGGCCTTCAGTGGAGAAGACCAGGGCTTCTTCCACTCTTCCCTATTGCATCATGGGACAGTCAGTGGCTCCAAAACTAGTCAATCATAGTTGCTAGAATAGGACACAGGCCAGCAGACAGGTTTTCTGTTAAAAGTTTTAAATGATTTTAGCCCGATCCTGAAAGCTTTAACAAACATGGTTTAGGTTAGAGTAACAGCAGCAACAACAATCATTTTTGCTCATTTCCCTGTTACAGTTTATAAAGCATTTTTGTAGTAACTTGCCTGTGTTGATCGGGGATCTGGGTTGTTCATTTCCCACAGAAAACAGAGTAAACCAAGTTTATCATTTACTGGAGGCAAACGTGGATTTCTCATTTTACCGGAGAAACTTTCTGTTGCGAATTTTTCAGTTTTGTGACAAGGGCCACCAGCAGGGCTGGGAGGGTTGTGGAGGGGAGTGAGGGGCAGGAGCAGGGCTGAGGGTTTGTGGGGAGGGGAGTGAGGGGCACCAGCAGGGCTGGGGGGTGGGGTGGCTTTCATTTTAATCATAGACTTGGGGGGGCTTATCAGAGAATTTGCAAATTTTTATCAGAGAATTTGTGGGGTTTTTTATATATATAATTGTTTTTTAAATCAGGAAAAATCAGGATTCCTGGCAATGATTTATTTGCCAGCAGTGCTTGTATTGTTATTTTTCAGAGTCAAGTCAGATTTCTAAATTGGCTATCTTAGAAAAGCCATAACTGTATGCTTTTAATTGCAAAAACCTCTGAACAAAATAAATGTTGATGCCAGTTTAAGTGTAAATAATAGTAAGGATTAAACAATGAATAAACATGTTGTAGTCTGTGGAGGGAACTGGGTGGTGTGAGTGCTATGTCACATGGCTGGCAGTTTAGAGGTTGTAAGTTCAAGGCTGTAGAAGAAGTGCTCGTGGTGTGGTCCTATCAGAGTCTACTGAATTTACAATTTCTGCTAAATACTATGTCACATAAGGACATGAAAAAGGAATGAAGTCCACTGATCCTTTATTATGGATATGTCAGTTCCATTATGGTTAGAATAAATCTGCTGGCCCTAATCACAGAGGAATTTGCCACACTTGAAATTTTCTCTATTTTGTTTGGGTCTTGACCTTGCCTCCAGGCTGTAGAGCTCTTCTGAAGGAAATAAAAAAAGTTAGTTTCAATGTTCTGGCTAACAACTCAGCTCAGAAATGTCTATCTAATTCCTGGCTGTCCCCCAGAGACAAGCTGGCTTTTTGGGAGGTTTTCCCTACCTCAACTTCACTTTCCTTCTGATGAATGTGCTGTAGTAGCTGGTGTCTCTGACATCTTCAGAGAAGGAACTAGGCTGAGAAATTAAAAAAGGGTAAATACAAGTTTGTATTATTCTGCTGTATCCCCATATCAGTGTCTAATTGTGGAACTTGGCTACCTCTGTGGGGTGAATGCAATTTGCCTTCTCTCAGGCTCGTTCAGGTAGGGTCATGATGGCCCAAATGCCTTTGCATAAGAAAAAAACAAGGTGGAACTAAAGAGACTGGCTTTCCTAGTTCAGATATGAGTGCCATCTTGTAAAATAGTCTGAGTGGGATTGCCTTAGTCACTGCCCTTGTAGCTAACGCAAAAAGAGAAGCAACTGAGATAAGAAAAAGCTAGTAAAATCCACAGAAATGCCTGGGCTTGTTCTAAATCCCATGGATTCCTGAATTGGTATTTTAGAACTCCGGTGGCAGCTGCTCCTACTCCAGACCCAGTAGGTCTGGTTCAGTGAATCTGCAGATCCAGCAGATTATCAAAGTGCTACCTCAAGACCACTGCTGAATCCCCCTCCCACCTCCCTGACTCTTCAGAACCCAGGGAATCAGGAGGCAGTCATATTAGCAGTCCCAGTGTTAAATTGGTAATGCCCAGATGCATTCTCATTTTCTACTGTGCCCAAGACCAGGAATCTGGGGGAGTGGGGATGAGCTCAGAGACCCAGCTGCAGCAAGAATGGTTGGAGGAGCAATGGCCAAGAAAAGTCCAAGGGACAGGTGTTAGTTAATTCAGGCTTCATGTAGCTCATGGGCCAACATCTAGATAGTCCTGCCTTGGACTGCAAACAGGGGGAACTTTGAACACTACCAGTATTGGAGAGAGGAGTGTAGGGCTGTAGCACCAGTTCCCTTCCCCCCTGCCATCTCTGGACAGACATCCTAAGGCCTTACTCATACTCCAGATGGCGGTCTCCAGAGAAACTACAGACCCACCCAGTGTACATTGCCAATTGTATGAACCCTAGAAAGAAGCCAACTAACAGAACTTATTCTACAGGCTGAAGTAAGGTTCAGGGTTTAACTCAGAGCTGACCACGTTCTGGACAGCCAGGGGCCACGTTTTGGACAGGCAGACCACAGTCCTGGGGGCCACATGAGCGGCAAGCCATGTACCCAAGGGCTTCTCGCTATGGTGTTGGTTCTTCCCTTGGGCTGTATATGCAGTGTGGGCAGCTTGGGCACCCCCACTCTT